ACTTGGGTGAAAGAGAACCTTAATGTAGTTTTGATTTGCATTTGATTTGCTAAAGATGATGAACATTTTTTCATATTACTGGCCATTCACACTTCTTTTGAAAARTATCTGCTCAGCTCATCTGCCTGTATTTTGATTGCGTTGTTTGTTTTTTAGTGTTCAGTTTCTCAGTTCTATATATATTCTAGATATTAATCCTCTGTYAGAGCAGTAGTTTGCAAAGATTTTCTCCCATTTTGTAGACTCTTTACTCTTCAACAAAGCAATTTTGTTGTTAATGCTACTGGTTAACATGAGTTTCAAATAYATAAAGCAATATTGAGAAGCCAAAGGTATCCAAGTCTACACACATCTCCACCRAAACACATAAAATGCATGCTGACTCTAGCTTGTATGACCCATTTTATCCATTCTGATTCCTAAACTGCAARACTAAGATAGGCAGGTAAGCAAGTAAGCAACACTAGAGTTCATCTTTATATTTTGTATTATTTGCAGAATAAATGAAAGTACAACACTGTAGTGTAGGAACTTATGTAATGTTTTCATGTAAAAAAGAAGCCCTCTATTATGTAYTGGATATTGTTTAAATATATCTCCCAAGGATTTACGTGTTGAAGTTTAATCCCCACTGTGATATATTAAGAGGGTGGAAACTTAATCCWWCTATATGTTTAGAACTGGGGMCTTTGGGAGGTAATAAGGATTAGATAAGGTCATCAAGTAGAATCCCCAAGACTGAATGTTGATGGCTTTTAAAAGGGAAAGGGATCCAGGTGCAATGGTGCATATCTATAATCCCAGCAGCTTGAGAGGCTGAGGCAGGAGGATCTGGAGTTCAAAGCCAGTCTCTGCAAAAGTGAGGCATTGAGCAACTCAGTGAGACCCTGTCTCTAAATAAAATACAAAATAGGGCTGGGGATATGGCTCAGTGGTAAAGCATCCCTAAGTTCAATCTCTGGCACCTTCACCAAAAAATAAAATAAAATACAAGGGAAAGAGATCAGGATACACATGTTCAATTCCTGTATCTTGCTATGTGAGACCCTGCACCATCTTCAATTCTGCCAGCAAGAAGGCCATCACCAGATACAGCCCCTTGACRTTGGTCTTCCAGAACCATGAGCCAAAATAAATCTCTTTTTGTTAAAACTTCCCCAGTCTACAGTACCAAGTGTTATGGGCACCAGAAGATAGACTAATACACCTTCATACTCAAATATACTAGGGTACTAGGAAGCTCTGCCCTAGACTAAAAAATATYAGAAAGAATCAGAGAAAAATAAAGTCCCAATCAGAACCCTGAAGAGATAAGGAAACCATGCATTTGAAAGGGAAATCTCCATCGGTCCTTGATAAATGTAGGTCATGATAAAGTTATCGGTATTTCACCCATGGATCATTCATTCATTCATATAAAGCATTTTAAATGTACTATTCATAAATTAGAAATTTTCTTTATTTATACTGAAACATTTATCAGAGCATGTTGTCCCCCAAACACCTTCTCTCCCTGCCTTTGCTAACATCATTCCATCCATCCATCAGTGTTCAACTGTCCCATTCTCTTACTTCCTCTTACTTCTGCTCAGCTTGTAAAATGCTGTTCAGGCTTCTGTGGCAAATGTCATCTTCTTTATGGTGAYGTCCAGGTTATCATCTCCTAGGTTGAATCCACCTCTCTCCCCAGTACGTTTCAGTATACCTTGGGTTCTGGAATACTTCCTAGTGTGCCTTCTCATTTTGCTTCCCCCACAAAGTTAGGAAACACTCCCAATTTGTCTCATTCTCCACAATGCCATAAATAAGGCACTAAATAAATGTTTACTGAAATCAAAACAAAATAAAACTCACACTTGTGCTTTTCTGTTTCACCATGGAAACATCCTCTACAGCAACTCTTTATAAATTCTGCTGCCATTACATTCAATTTCCAATGTCCCTCAAAAGATAGAAACTTCCAATTTTAATATGAACCTGGTGGTAGAATAGAAAGCAAGTTAAAATTATCATGCTTAATGCCATTAGATATCATTAAATAAATCATAATATCTATTTTTATAAGACATAATGAGGGCTTCAAAGTAAAAATATTTACAAGGATGATAGATTTTTTTGTTCCCATATATAATTTTATATAATCTAGGAGTCTTTAAAAATTATTAAAATGGTATGCTTAAAAATTATTAAATGAACAATGTCATTAAAATCTGACAAAGAAAAATTCTATTCTCAATTTTCTCTTATATGTGATATGCCTAAAACTATGTTCAAGAAAAATTTGAAAGAAAACATAGTGCTATGTCATTAAAAAGTATGAAAAAAATTCACTTTCCCCACAT